AAGGCAAAGGACGGTTTCATGCCAACAAGTCACCCATGGTGCAAATATTTGTACTTCTGCATTTTGAAGTTGATGTTCAGCTGAATTTGGTGAAAAAAAAAAGATTAGAAATGCAGGCATCTAACTCATTCCAGCTCTGTTTGAAACACCAAGCATATTGGTACGGCATATAATCATTTCCACACATGCTTGGGTTTGATACAAAATATGCTAAAAACAGCCTAAACAGCAAAAGGCCTTCTGTTGATTCTCTCCAAAAAGAAACAGCATGTTTATCTGTCAGCATGTTTTCTGAAACAGCAATTCCCTATCACAGCAAGTGATTCAGCTGGTAGAGTAAGTAGTCTCTTCTGGAAAAAAAAACAACACAAAGCACTGAACGTCACAGCAAGATCATTCTCTGGTGCAGGAAAAAAAGCAGCTAATGCAAAACAACAGAAGGGCCTTTCAATGAAGAGAAGCTCAAGGAACTGCTTGCTGACACTCAGCTTGCTCAATGAGGAATTGCTCTTCAAAGTAGGAGCTACCAAACTGTGCTCTGTAAAAGATTGTCTCAGTAAACATTCATAATTTAACACAGCAAGAATCTTTTATTCAGTCACATTTTATGTCCATGGTAAGGAATAAAACCATTCGACATATATCCATGAGCAAAGTCTCTCATCTTTACCCACAGGAAATAAAACTCATCAGCTCCCCTTCCGCAAAAAGGCATCTCATAGAATAAAACCTCATCTGCCATCCTGAGCAATAACTCAAAACTGACAGTTTATTCCTCCACTCAATCCTCTTACAGTTTGGCACGATCTTAATTTAGGATGATGTTATTTCAGTTCCTCTCTAACATATGGCATGCAGAAGGCTGATGTAGCCCATGGAGGTTAACTGCTAGAGGCTAGGGACTAGGTGGGACTATGTGCTAATGTATGTTTAAAATTTAGGGTAAGAGTATGTTGACCAAGAAACAGAATTAGTTGCCCTCAGGACAAATGTCACCACTACAAAAAAAAGAATGTGGAACCTACAGACATTTCTCATTGCTTCAGAGCACAAAGGACTCTGACCTTCATTTTTAAGTAGGCTTCTGAAGTCAAGATCTGTAGTGCCTGTGTTACTACAAAACAAACAAATAAACAAACAAACAAAAAGAACCATGCATTTGAGCTGTCAATGATGGCTTGCTACCAGATTTATTAATGTGCTCTACTTACAATGATATGGGCCACTTGTAAAACAACATCCTGAAAAACAGTCTGGAAATCCTGAACAGTGAAACCTGCACCTGTGAACTAATGACTAGCGAGCCCACAGGGTATTTTCTCTGATGGCTTCTTGTATTGAAACAAACTGAATTCCTCCCTCCCTCTTTCCTGTAACACTATTCCATTACAGCAGAAACCCATTTTTGATGTAACAAAGTATCACCAGAATGCCTTGAATCTGTAACACTTTCAGGCTGCGGCAGCACAGGACAGAATCTCTCCTTTGACCTATTGCAAGGTTAATTTAGACAAGGCTTCAAGGAACAAAGCCCCATCCTTCATCTAGGAAATCCACAACAGTGTACTAGTACAGAGTAAGCCAGTAGAGGGAAGAAATGAAAGAAATAGTTATTATGATGAGATTTGTTCTTTCATGATTCAACTGAAATACTGAGAAAAGATACCTGCAATACATGTCATCCACTACGAAGACAAGAAGCTGTGTTGCCAAGGGGAACAAACAAAGGCTAAAATCAGCACTGAGGTCTGTGACACATCAGAGATTCCCATGAAACAAAGAGAGCAGGATTACTTCCAAATTCTCAGGAATTGCAGCTTTCCTGCCTGCAGCCCTGCTTGTCTCAAAGACAAAGCCCCAGGAAGGAGCAAGAGCCCTCCTTCCAATGAAAGGTAATGGTTCTTCTGACAATATCTGCTACTTAATTTTATAACAATTCCAAATTCTGTAACTACTAATAAGGACATTTTTTAATGGGGTGAGTATCCACGTGCAACAATCCATTTTGGTTTCTATTGGATGACAAATTCCTATTTTCTTATTTATTACAGCTCATAATGCACACAGTGAGAAAAAGGAGAATTAAGTTTATCAGACATTTCTGGCACAAATCCACAGTCTACTTGGAGTCTATTAAATTGTCTGTACAGAGTCATGCCTGTCTTGTGGCCTGAAGTCTAGAAAAATAATTAAAAAAACCCAACAATTTTATGGATTCTGCACCCTAATGGTTAAGTGAGCAAAATGCAGGTAAAAAACTGATAGTGCCATTACCTATAGGATGGAGCGTGGTCAACTAATACAAATAACCACCAGTTAATCAGGTGTAAGCACCGTGCTGCAGAAACATATTAAGATAATATTGTAAGTTGATTTCATAATGAAGTCTTTGACCTCCTTCTCTAATCTAGCTGCAGGATCTCTTGTGCTATGAGTAGATGGAAAAAAACAAAACAAAACAAAACAACAAAAGGTGTTAGCCTTTACAGGAAAGATTCAGTGTGCTTCAGTCTATTTTTTTCTTCTTGTTAAAAAAGGATAATTACAATGCCTAATTTCTTGTTTCTAAGTTTCTAAGACTGACAACAATAGGCACACACTTCATAGCAGCACTGAGTGTAACTCAGCAGCTGCCCTTAAACCAGCTGGATTACCCACAGTCTGAAAGCCAAGTACAGTGCTGTGCAGCTCACTCAGGGAAGCTATGCTCAGACCATCACTGGACCAAAATAATTTCCCAATTAATTACTTGCCCTTTCAGGATGAATCTGATGATATTTACTCCCCCTATCCAGGCTTTACTCTTAGTCAATGGAAAAAGCTGGAGATCTCTGGAGCCTTCTGACAGTGATCTGGAGATGCTGAAGAGGCAAGTACTTTTTCCAATAATTACATAGAGTCCATGGCCTCCCCAGCTCAGTTCAACACATTGTGTGCTGAACTGTGAGTTATCTGGAGCTGCCAGTAAGAAGTGATAGGCAAAGGATGTGCCTGAGGGGGTGCCTGACTCTTGGCATCACTGGGAGGTATCATCACCCATGTAAGATCTCAAATGCTGATTTTTTTTTGCATGAAGGATATCCATGCAGGAACAGTACAAAACCATATGTGGATCGGTTGGGATCTGCACTGTACTGACAAAATCACTTGCTTCCATGGACAGACACTTCTAGTTGAAACATTGCCCTGAAAGTTTGTTTTTTGGCATGGCAATCCAAATGTTATATATTTATTGAAATGATATAGACAAAGACTTCCATTACAAGGTAGCAACCTGCTTTTCAGAACACAAATTGAAAATGTAACCTTTGATACAAAAATAAAATATCAGGAGTCAGATAAGACCAGGAAAAAGAAAACACCCTACGCATACAAGTTGGGCAAACACAGATGAAGCATTGATTTTTATACTGCATTTCCTTCAGTGTCTTCACACACAAATCATCTTGCCACTCCCTGAACTGCTGAGGATTTCATGACATTCCTCACCTTGAGCTGTACTTTCCCTTGGCATGGTGATCAACTTCCAGGAAATACCCTAAAGCCTCATCGTGAATCTATTCAGACACATAAAGAGAACCACAAGAAATACCTTTCTGGTATTCTCATTGATCGAGTCACTGAATCCTATTTTCAAACTTAAAACCATACAGTAAAATTCCTTGCACTTACAGGCTCTTAGAGTACTAATGAAAAAACAAGCATGCGATTTGTGCCTTTTTTTGGTGCAATTCTCTGTATTGCATTTGGGAATAATGCTTCCTGTAGTTCTCCATGATCTAAGAACCTCTGGATTTGCCAATAGTGGCATTTGGTTTAGTTGTTAGTAGTATCCTGAGCACATAGAAATGCAATATATGAAACAAAAAATACATTGCCTCAGCAACATCCACCTTCTCCTAGGAGTACTTCATGAGGTTGTGGGTCTGTATACAACTTCCTAGGACCTGCTGCTCTAAGGCAGTTCATCAAACATACATAAGCTCCAGCTTTGTGCAGTCAATCACTTCAGCCTACCTCAAGGAAAAACCTGCTCATGTGAAAACAGACTGTGTGCCGCTTCTGCCCATGGCTTCTTGGATGTGCATTCAGTACTGCACACATTATAAATTAAAAAAAAAAATCCAAAATAAAAGGACTTCCCTCGAAGGGTCTTTCTGTCACCCTTCTGAAATGGGAAGGTGCATCCATGTAACAGAGCCATTAAATTACATTGCTCGGTACATGTCAGAGAGATAGCTGAGGTCCTACAGAGATCACCACGATGTAGGTACAAAATGAGGTGAGTTATAGGTGAAAAAGTAACAACGCTTCTTCCTTTTTACTTTCTTTCACTTTCTGATCCGATGACAATATTTCATAGGTACGTAGCTGGGGACGTGAACGATTTACAAACGGAGTGCAGGCAGAGGCTGTGCTTTCCTCCGCAGCCGGGCCAGGCGCCGACGGCTCCATGCGGGCACATGCAGCGGCCCCGGCAGGCTGTCAGCGAGCGCGGCTCCGCCCGCCTCGCCGGGGTGGCCCGGAGCCGTTGTGGCCCACGGGCTGCCGGCACCTGAGAGCGGGCAGGGCAGGGCAGGGCAGGGCAGGGGAAGGGAGGCGGCCGGGCTGATGGGGCCGCGCACCCCGGAAGGGCACGGCGTGGCACGGCGCGGCGCGACCTCTTTCCCCTTAGCGAGCACCGACGGAAAGCAGAGGGAGGGAGGCAGGGAGGGAGGCCGGGGGAGGTGGCGGCTGCTTACCGCCGAGCCGGGCCGCTCTCCGCTAGCGGCTGCCGAGTCTCGCACGCGCGTGGCCGACCCCGGCGAGAGACAAAGCGAGGACGCCAGGCAGCGGAGGCGGCCTGGGCCTCTCCCGCACTCCGCCGGCGCCGCGGAGAGGAGCGCAGCGCAGCCCCCCGCACTGCCGCAGCCGGCCCGGGTCACGGCGCGGTGCGGGGCGAAGGGAGGAGCCTGCGCGGCGCCGGGCAGCGCGGCATGGCCGCTGCCTGCGTGCCCAGCGGCCGGGGCGCCGCCGCGCGCTCGTGGCGGCCGTTACAGCCCGGCGGCGAGATGCTGCCCCACGCCGGGCACCTGGAGCAGCATCCCTTCCGAGCTCCGGTCCGTAGGCAGGGCAGGCACCGCTTCAGTACCTTCACATCTGCCCGAATACAGTAGTGGGCGCACACGGTTCGGGCGAATCTAAATCTCCTTTAGGTAAGGAGCAACATCGGTCGCTAATCGTCTGAGGGAATAGTCTGGGTAAGGAGAGAGGTTTCAGTGGCGATGCAGTGCTCAGCATGTGGCTTGCACTCGAGAAGGTGGATTATTGCTGGACAGGAGAGCCAGTCTCCCCACAGAATGGAACAAGGGCTGGGCAGATACAAATGCAGTGCAGGTGTCCCTTGCTATCCGGCGTGCCCACCTATGCTCTACATGTGGCATTTGCTGGGATGCAGTCATTGCTGGAAAGTCTTCAAGGCTGCAGAGCTGAAGCTAGAACCACGTTAACAATCTAGAAGGACCTGAAAAGGCTTGAAGAGTGAGCCCATGGAAACCTAACGAGGTTCAACAAGGCCAAGCGCAAGATATTGTACTTTAATCAGGGCAATCCCAGACATTCAAACTGGGAGAAGAGCTCCTTGAGAGCAGCCCTATGGATGAGGACTTGGAGTCCTGGTGGATGAAAAGATGGATGTGAGCCAGCAGTGTGCACTTGCAGCCCATAGGCCAACTGTAACCCAGGCTGCATCAACAGAGGGGAGGCAGCTGGGGAGGAAAGTGATTGTTCCCTTCTATTTTGCCCATGTGAGGCCCCATCTGGAGTACAGTGTTCAGGCCTGGGGCCCAGAGCAGAAGAAGGATGAGAAGCTGATGGAGTAGATCCAGAGGAGCAAGCGCTTCTCACTGCGATGCAGGGATGTAGTCTGTGTAGCTAGCAGTCTACTGACAGGACACATAAGAGATGAATGCTTTTTTGTGTGGACACAAGCCATTACAGGATTGTGTTCCTGGTGGATTCTAATATGAAGATAATTATTGTTTGTGGGAATCCATATGATCAAGTGTAAAGCCTATCTAATTGTTTGGAAGTTGTTTTTGTCTTCTGTAAGCAATTTTGGCAACCCTTTGTAAATCTTGGGTCAGAGGTGGTGTTAGACTACTTGCTTTCTTTTCTGAGCAGTGTTTTACTGACCCAAATGCTTCCCTGTGACCTCTTGCAGAGTATATATGTGGCTGCTTCTTCTAGTTGAACATGAAAAGGCTCTCTGGAGAAGCTCATTTCCTTGAGTGCTTCTTGGTATCCACTTCCAGGCTGTGTGAGCTTAATCTTATCTTTGTATTCACACAACTGGCTTTTGAAGAGCTGCTATATTCCCTTTCTTTTGTCACCCAGGAATGGCCCCCATTGCCTGTCCTTGGCTTTCTTCAGTGGGACAGAGCCATGTGCCCTGTCAAAGGAGAATCTGAGCTAGCTCATGTTTGTACTGGGGGCAGTGCTATATCTCCTGTGCTCCCTGAGGAGCAGAAGTAGGTCTGTTCAGAATTCTCTGAGGTGGTCAGGCTGCTGGGAGCTGGCAGATGATGTGGTGTGGGTGAGAATCCACTCTGGGTTGTGGACTATAAAGCTCTCCATATGTTGTGACTTGAGTTCCCAGGGGTAGGTGCTAGACAAGGTGTTTCATCTCTTTTGCATATATTTTCTCTATTACATGAGATAAACACGTTTTGTTTTTATATTGATGACTGTCTCCAGATAACTATCAAATGGATTTTATCTGCCGCAAATCTTGCTTGAGGAATCTGGGCTGAACCCTGCACCCAGAAACACCCACAGCACCTGAGTTACTCTATCTCGGAGTGTATTGATGAACCCTTAATGATGTGATCTTTCACCTTCTGGATTATTTTGTAGGTGAATGGCATAACATGTGGACATGATGAGCTGAGAAGTTAGAAGACCCTGAAACAACTTTCCTGACAATATCAGGAATGTTTCTTGAGATGGACATGCTGCCTGATACAGCTGCCTCTTCAATCCTCAGTTGCCAGGTTATAGTTATAGAGATGTTTGTTCTCTTTGTACTCAGGGAGTGAACAAAAGAGTTGCTGATATGTGGGCATGAAGGATGACAGAGTATCTGCATCTCTCTAACAAGTGGTTAGCGGCAAGTGGTTTCCCTCTGACATAGGTTTTGAGAGATATCCCTTGGAGGAATCCCTTGGTATTTGGGCTAATAAGGCAAACTATTGTATATTCAAATGCTAGGGTAGCCTTACGACAGAAGATCTTGGGGTTCAGGCTTGCAGTTCTTGGTAATATGAGAAAATAAAAACAGGCCAAGCACTTCAAGAAGAGGATAATGATTTAATTTAAGCAAAGATCAGTAATACTTAAACAGAGAAATGACTATATCCAATTTTTATGTTTTCGTATGATAACACCTCTGTCTCAAGTGGAATATATATTACTAGTATACAAGGGAGATAAAAGCTTGTTTGTAGCAAAATCAGCCCTGTAACTGTTAAAATATTTCAAAGTAACTCACACTGCCTTCTCAATTGTATATTCAGTGGTCATCATGTTTCTTACCTTCCTAACGTACCTTACCCTACCTACCTACCCACCTTCACCAAAATACCATAAAACCCTGAGATATAATGCAAGAAAGAAACAAACCCCTATACCAATCTCTATACCTATATTTCTACTGCTAGAAATCTTTGAGGGCTTTGCTGGATGAAGGAACTTCCTGTATGAATCTTTAAGGCTATTTTCTAATTAGTTCAGCAATTTTCATATACATTTTTTCAGTTGCATCCAGGCCCCAGACAAAATCAAGATGTCCCCAGAAAGGAAAATTCTCATGGTAATAGAGATTATTAATCCTAGAAAGTAGTTTTGTTATGTCTTTGGGATCTGCAAATTTGTCTTGTCCACCACTCCAAACGGCAATGGGCGTGCTTATCTTCTCTATCTCGTATGCAGGAGGAGTAGACTGTAAGAAAGGGAGGACATCTGAGTGAGTGCTGCTATATCAAAGGCTGTGTTTAGTAGAAGGATTCTGTGCAGAGGTTTGTTTCTCTTCTGCACTCACTACAGGAAAAGAGTAGGGATCAAATCCACTTTCTTAATGCATATTTCCCTAGTTCCAGTTCCTATATATCATGGAACAGAATGATCTATCCTATTTCTAGACTCTTTCTTCAGTGCATGGCTATTAGTTGTCCTGAACTTTGACACCTGCTTATTCTGATCATAGATAGGGATATGGAAAGAGCAGTGTTTCTTTTTTATCAGGAGAGAACTGCAGAGGTATTGTTCATGTGTCCCATTCTTTTTTTTTTCTTTTCAAGCTTTTACGTGGCACAGTGAGAAAGAATTTTAGCTGTCTTGTGTCAAACCGAACACTCTCACAGTCATAGTTTCATCATAGCTACTTAGGGAGTAATAGCCAGTGAAGCTACTTGCTTGTTATCACAGAGGAAACTGACCAAACACAGAGCAGAGCAAGGATCTTCTGAGCCCTGAGCTAAGTAACTTAATTCAGGATTAGTCTACAGGCTGATGAGAGAACATGCAAAAAGTGCTTTGACAATAACCTCTATCACCTAAAAGTAATTCTATTATTTTTCTCATTGGCTATCATAACGGTTTTGTTTTGCTTCTTTGGACAGTTTCCTAAACATATATTGGGAATAGTACTTCATCCAATTCAGACTTTGGTATTTGAACACCACAAGTGGATGGAAAGTGCCTGATAAATCTTTGGAATATTTCTCTGCCTATAAAATAGCATATCACCAAATAGCATGCTCTGACATAGAAATTATCACTAGAAGCCAACAGGTCAGCTCAAATCTCAAAGAACTGTCAGGCAAATTGTCAGTGTTGCATAAGTGCAGCATGTCTGAGTAATGAATTTTTGTCCATTTCCTTTTTTTCCTTAGAGTATACACCAGTTTGCATTCTTCACTGTGCTGTTCTGAAGCTTCCCTTCCATTTTATTTTGGAGGTAAGACCCTTCTCAAAATCAAGGCAAGAGGTGCATTTCCTTTTCTCTGTCCTTTCCTTTATGCTTGTTTGCTCTTTTGGCCATGCTGGTGTTCTAATTAAAGGTGGGGGTTGGGTATTTTTTGGGAAGAGGTGCTGTCCCATACTCATCCAGTCCTAGGACATGGATGTGATCTTTTGGGAATGGCAGGTAAATGGGCATGTCACTGGACTGCATCAGTAGGGAAAGAAACATGAACTTCTATTAGCTGTCTGCAAGGAACTGTCTGTGCCTTTTGCACTTAGTAGTATTAGGTTCAGGCGAAACACTATCTCACATCACTCTCTCCTTCTTTCTGCAGCAGTTGAAGTCATGTGTTCTTAGTTTTGTCAGGACCCAAGGAGATGTTCTCAGGAAAACCATATTGCCTTACCTGGTTGTATTTCTGCATATTTATCCTTGAGCCATAGTCATAAGATTGGAATCTGTCTGTATGGGTTAGCTGCAGATATGGAACAAGGACAGATAAAATGAAAACGTTAAGATACAGGGCAGATGCTGGTGGTATTTTCTTCCTGTGATT